CAGGGCGTACTCCTACCATATGGGATATTAAGAAGGCTTACCCTGGAATTTGCAACTTGTCTAAGCTTCAACTCGTCCGGAGCTAACAGTGTTCTGTTTTCTCTCATTCATGCCTGGAATGGGAAATCTGTTGCCCTTCAGAGATTGTGAGACTCCCACCTCCCATCAGGTCCAGACAGCACAGCTAATAGTTAGGGATGATGGGAGCTGGAGTCCAACATTTGGGGAGTCATGGGTTCCTCATCCTGATGTATGCCATATTGTTACCCTTTGGTGCATAGATGCAATGTACATAAACATATATTTATTCCTATTGCTCCAATACTTTGGCCACCTCATGAGAAGAGAAGACTCCCTGGAAAAGACCCTGATGTTGGGAAAGATGGAGGGCACAAGGAGAAGGGGACGACAGAGGACGAGATGGTTGGATAGTGTTCTCAAAGCTACCAGCATGTGTTTGACCAAACTGCGGGAGGCAGTGGAAGACAGGAGTGCCTGGCGTGCTCTGGTCCATGGGGTCACGAAGAGTCGGGCACGACTAAACGACTAAACAACAACAACATTCCTATTGCAGCTGCGGAGTTGCGTTGTGGCTTCTGTGGTTAGTACCAACACATAGCAAGGTCAGGACGTTATCTGGGGATCTTGGGTGTCTAAGTCTAAAGGCTATGCAGCTAAACTCTGGACTTAATGCAATCTCTACAACTGCCATCCTAACCCCACTTGCCTGGGAACAAGGAGCATTGAAGTCAGTAGGGCTTACTTCTGAGTAGACATGGTTAGGACTGGAGCTTATATCAGCCTCTCTCTCCTTTGTTTCAGCATGGAATAACCAAGAAGGGAGGAGTGAGGAATCTGAAGGCTGGCAGAAGTGAGCAATGATTCTGTACTGGGAGAAGGGCAGAACTTTAAACCAAGGGTGAGAGATGCCCACCTACAGAAACTGACTCCACTGTGGATTTAGTAAGATCTCTTCCTCCATCCTAATCATCCCTAAGGGTACTGGCCACAATCCAATGCACTTTAATGCACATCACGCAGTGAAATCCTATGCAACATTATTAAGGTGGTTTTTCCAATGGTTGTGTTCTGCTATTAGAAGACATGCAAAAGTTGCCAACAGGAGAGAGAAGAAAGGGTGTGTGTGTGTGTGCGCGCACACGCACGCACGCACGCAATAACACAGCCTGCTTCTTTGCCTTAAAAGATGTGTGATATACCTAAATGGACACTAATCCTTAGTTCCCATGCCCTACTGAACTAAGCCTAGGCATGCAAAACTAAAATAATCACGCATCCTTCCCCTGTTTATTTTTGTCTCCACTTCCTTTACTTCTTCTGTTGTTTCCTCTGAGTGAGACAATTTTTGGCAAGGCAAATTGCAGGTGTGTTAAGGGGGTGGGCGGAAGCCCCTCCCTTGCCCTGCTAAGGTCACAATCAGGATTTGGGTGGGTGGGAGAGAGACCTCTCTCAATAAGGGATGAAGCCTCACCTGGACTCTGAAGATCCTAAAAGCATCACTCAAAAGTCAGACCTATTGGTTTAAATTTTGGGCTGACCAGCTTCCGTGTAGTTATTAACCTTCAGCCTTCCAGATGTTGTTGGACTGCAACTCTCATCCTCCCTGACCATTGGCCCTGCCGGCTGGGGCTGATGGGACTTGCAGTTCCACAACCTCTGGAGGGCCACAGATTCCCCATTCCTGCCAATGCCATTGAAAGTAATCATTGGACTCCATCATCATCATCATCATCATCATCATCATCATCATTTATTATTTCTACCCTGCCCATCTGGCTAGGTTTCCCCAGCCACTCTGGGTGGCTCCCAACTGAATATTAAAAATAGAATCAAACATTAAAAACTTCCCTAAATAGGGCTGCCTTCAAATGTCTAGAAGATAGTCAGATAGAAGTCAGATAGTTGTTTATTTCCTTGACATCTAATGGGAGGGCGTTCCACAGGGTGAGCGCCACAACCGAGAAGGCCATCTGCCTGGTTCCCTGCAATCTCACTTCTCGCAGTGAGCAAACCGCCAGAAGACCCTTGGAGCTGGACCTCAGTGTCCAGGCTGAACGATGGAGGTGGAGACGCTCCTTCAGGTATACTGGGCCAAGGCCGTTTAGGGCTTTAAAGGTCAGCACCAACACTTTGAATTGTGCTCGGAAATGTACTGGGAGCCAATGTAGGTCTTTCAAGACCAGTGTTATGTGGTCTCGGCGGCCACTCCCAGTCACTAGTCTAGCTGCCACATTCCGGATTAGTTGTAGTTTCCAGGTCACTTTCAAAGGTAGCCCCACGTAGAGCGCATTGCAGTAGTCCAAGCGGAAGATAACTAGAGCATGCACCACTCTGGCGAGACAGTCCGCGGGCAGGTAGGGTCTCAGCCTGCGTATCAGATGGAGCTGGTAGACAGCTGCCCTGGACACAGAATTGACCTGCGCCTGCATGGACAGCTGTGAGTCCAAAATGATTCCCAGGCTGCGCACCTGGTCCTTCAGGGGCACAGTTACCCCATTCAGGACCAGGGAGTCTTCCACACCTGCCCGCCTCCTGTCCCCCAAAAACAGTACTTCTGTCTTGTCAGGATTCAACCTCAATAATCTCTGAGTCGGTTTCAGCCCCAAAGACTTCTTATTGGCTTTATCTGTCTACAATGGGAAAGGATTCAAGAGACCAGGACAGGCGACCTGCTCCTGCCCTGTAGAAGGAAGCAGCTACCTGGCCGGGTTTATGAAGCCTGCGGAACGGATCGCGGTTCCTCATTGGCTCCTCCTGCAGATGCAGCAATGCAAGAAGGAGACTAGGCGGCTGAAAACACGAGGCGGGTTTTAGACCTGCGATCGGTGGCTGGTGAGACAGTCTCTCCTGCAAAAGTTGCGCTTCTTGCCCCTTCAGGTGAACACTGAGCACAACACCAGGCGGCTCCGAAATCACGTCTCTCACCCCCCCACCCCCCCACAAAAATATACTGTCCGATCTCAGTCATTCCTGCAGCATTTTTTATATCACCCAACATTTTCACAATATTCCCATTCTAAAGAAGCACAACTGAGGGCAATCACAACGCGCCCGGGCCCCTTTGCAGCTCAGTCCTAACCCATCTTGCTAAGGCAGCTAAAGTTTTGACACACACATAGCCAACTTGTTCCAGAAAGCATTTTAAGAGAGTGTTTGGTTTTATGATACATTTTAATGTAATATTTTCTGTGGATTGGTTTTATGCACACCGCCTAGAAGAGCAAACGAGTAAGCTGTATATAAATGTCTTTAAAGAAAGAAAGAAAGAATGAATGAATGAATGAATGAATGAATGAATGAATGAGTACAGTCCAAATGATTTCACTGGGACTCCAAGAAAGCTCCCCTTTGCTTCAGCCCTTTGTATGCGCACTTACTCGGGAGTAAAGCCCAAGTAGACCTCAGTGAGACTTAGTAAACATGCGGCTTAGAGGGCGATTCCGGCCTGGCCAAAAGGTATTTGAACGTATGTTCAAATTCAGCGTCCTGGTCTGGCCTCTGGAACAAAAGTTGGACTTGAACCGGGCGGGGAGCGTTGGCTACAGTGTGTATATTTAGGGGTCGCTTTTCCTCCGCCCGTCCTCCGCGCTTGTCATATGGGGGCACTTAACCACAGCAGCAAGGAGACTTCGTTGCCCGTTTGATCTCCCATCAGGTTTTGTGCCCTAGCCAGAGTTTCACATTCAGCTGCGAGGCTCCAGCAAACGTTGCTGAGGTCACGCCTTTCCACTTGATTTATGTTGAGTGCTCCAGCAGCAACCAGGATGTGGGTTTCTTGCCTTCCCATTATCTCTAATTGCCACCTTGTTAACTCGGTGAGCGCTCCAGGGTACCTCCTCGTCTCACCGAGCGCGTACGAAACCAGCCCCGCCGCCACCTTCCCACTCCACCGCTGGCAAGCAACTGGCCCCGAGCCGCGTCTCCTCGGCCCCCTCGGAGCGCTTCGGCGGCCACTTGGCAGGATGAGGCCTCCCAGCCTCCGAGAGGGAAGAGCCACTGAAGGCGTTACGTGGAAGGCGAGCCACTCAAACCAACAAACCAACCCGCCCGGACCCGTCACCAAGAAATAAGGGGTCCCGTACAGATTTGCAGTCCCCCAAAAAGGAAGCGCGCTCCAAAAGGGATGGAGAGGGAGAAATGGACCCCTACGTTGGCGGTCCTAAGCGAGAGCCCGGGATTAAGCCTTTGCCCTGCTGCAGCCAGGGAAGGAGCCCTGTGGATCTCGCTGGTGGCTTTGCTGATCAGGAAGTCCTGATCAAGCGCCTCGAGGAAGGCGGCTCAGAGAGCTGGCGAGCAATCCAGGCGAGGCGCGGGCGGCCTTGCGCTTTTACGCACGCTGGCCTGCCATCCTGCCTGCTCGCTTTGGGGACGCGACCGGCGCAGCCTCTCGCTCTCAGACCCGCCGGGCCCCCTCCCCGTCTAACATGCAGCCCCGGCTCCGCGGATCTGGAGCGGGCCGAGTCGGGTTTCCACTCGCGAGACCCGGCGGCGCTCTCAGGGAAGTGAGGCGGAGTTTCTTGGGCAGCTCCGAAGGCAGCCGCTCCGGCGTGAACTCGCGCCGCCAAGTTTCTGCTCTCGCCAGCGAGCTTTTAGCAAGGTGCCATTTGACCTCGCCAGCCATTTCTCCCGAACCTGTCGGTGGAAAAGGCAGCCAGGTTAACCCTTTCCTGCCACGCCCTCGTGGGGCTCCTCTTCGCCGAGTCTCGTGCCTTTCACGGAGCCCGAGGGGGCTGGGGAATCTCCTAGGAAGCGCAGCATGGGCGGGCGGCGAGGGACTGGGGAGGACCCCCCCCAGCCAAGACCTTAATTTTGTCAAGTGAAGGTGACAGCAGGAAGAAGCTTCTGAGGAGGCAAACTCTGCTTCTTTAAGTCTCTCCCCCCCCCCCGCAGCGCTTTGACAAGAGAAGAATGTGGCCCGCTGACGTCAGGTGTTTGCCCATTTTTTGTTCGGTTAAAAATAGTTTCGTGTGACAGCTTACCTGAGATGCGTGTCCGACCGTGTAGGATGCAAAGCAGAATTTGCCAGGGGAGGGATCGGTAATTCCACATCTAGGATCGCGATGTATTGAATGAATGAACAGCAAAAGGAACAGGATTCCCCTCTGCACACCCGCAAACACAGAGTTAAGCGCGCTAAAACCCAATGAAGTCTATGGGTTTAGACGAGCCGATGGCAACCTTAATGTTCTGGTAACTTGGTTGGCTAATGTTAGATCACCAAAAAGCAAACTATTAGCAGGCTCTTCAAAAATCGCAGCCTACCCCCACCACCGCTGTAGTGATAGGGGTGTTGTTGAGGGATGGCTAGACGACAGCTATTCTTCAGGTTACTCCTCTCACGATCTTTCCTTTCTTTTTTGCACAGGTATTTTAGTGGGGGGGGAGAGACAAAACAAATATATTGTGTCAACAGGAATGCAAGGAAATATATAGCCTGATTAGTAAAGCAGTTAATCAGAAGCATTTGTTTTAAGCCGTTTTGGCACTTTACCTGGTGCCAAGCCTTCAATTGTAAATGTTGATTATAATGAGTTTTTAAATCGGTTCAAACCCGAATCTATCAGTTGAGCAAAACTGCTGAAATCCAAGCATTCAGGAATAACCAGTTTGTGAAACTGAATCTTGGTGGCATTTTAAGGAAGAGATGTTCTAGTGTGCTGTATTTGTATACACAAAAACGCACTGGGCACGATTCTCCAGATAGCTGTCCTCCAGGAACGCCCAGAAAGGAGTGAGAATCGCTGGCTGTCCTGCTGGGTGGGTGTCTGTAGGTGTCTCTGTCTGTGTAGGAAGACGGGCAGATGTATAACGCTCTTGTTTTGTGCACAAGAGACGCGCCACAGGAGATGTCCTACAATATGCATGCCATGTGCGGAAGCCTGCTCATCTCCCCCAGATTTCCCATGCATATAAATGGGACTTAAATCATGGTTTAATTTGTTTCGGGGTTCACCAGAATTCAGTCAGCAAATCAGCCCCCTCCCTCCTAATATCAAGACAGCTGCGGGGCATATGAAATGTTAGTTTTGGAAGGAGGAAAGAGGGGCGAGTGGCGTGCCTCTGAGAGGGTGCAGGGTGCGATTCCCACGCTTTTAGGTTCGGGAAAAGGCGGTTTCGGGATGGAGCGCGTTCCTCCCGGGACTCTTGAGCCCCGGCACCTGTCTCTTGAGAAACACCGCGCGCTCTCTGGACTATCTTCCCAGAGGCGGTGCTTGAAGCACTACCTGCCCAAGCCCCGTCGCCAAGAGCTCGAGAGTGGGCTCTGCTTTCTGGGACTGGGGCTCCGCTTAGACGGCGCGTTCCTCGAGTCCCCTTCCTTCGAGCCACCGGGGCAGGATCTGCCCCTGCAGCGCCTCGGAATGGAAGAGCTGCTCTCTGGGGCAGCCGCCCGTTGCGCTTTCGTTCTCCCTGGTTTGTTGGTGAGGGGAGAATTTCGCAGGCTCCTGGAAGGGGAGTCCCGCCCGGCGTTTTTTCTCCTTTTCTTTTTTAGGAGGGGCACTGGGGCGGCCTCCTTCCCTCTCCCGCAGGGGCTTCCCAGGGGGACAGGTCTGGTCTAGCTCAGAGAGCTCCCCCCTCTGCAGTCCCTGGCTGGGGTCAGCGGAGGGGCAGCGCAGGGAATGGGCGCTACAGCCGCCTCCTCTCCGCCCTGCGCCGCCAGCGCCTGCCTGGCCGGGGGAGCTTGGCTGTGGCTGTAGGCGCGGGTGCCTCTTTCGTGGGAAGCGCCTTGCGGTTCGTTCCAGCATCCAAAAGCACCGAGGAACCAGCCTTTCTCCTGCCCCCCCCCAACCCACTGGAGCCCCGTGGCGGCTGCCGTCGTATCTCTCTAGCATCTCAGCTGCAGCCAGAAGCAGGAAAATAAAACTGCAAAGCAAATGTTTGCGTTTCTTTTTGTGACTTTAAGCCCGATCCCTTTCCCATGCTTTCAACATTCCGGAGATATTGGAAACCTTTCATTCTCTCGCTTCGGAGGACCCACGTGCTGCTCACCTACGTGCCTTTCCTTGGGAGGAAATCCCGGGCTTACTTCCGAGTAAACATGGTTAGGGCTCAGGCTGCTAAAGTACTAAGAAACATTTTTTTAAAATCCATTTTAACCTTAAGACAATTAAAAAGAAGTCGTCTTGCAGCACTAGTCCATGCACGTTTACGCGGAAGTAAGCCCTACTTATTGGAGGTTTACTCCCACGTATCATAGATTTTGTCTCAGTCAAACGCAAAGGTCGCTCCAAGGACCATTTCCAGTTCAAAATCCAGGCTGGCAAGAATTCTCTTTGAATCTGTGCTTCAGCGACCGCCGCGTTTTCGCATTTAAGTTCCAGTCCTGTTTTATTTTCCAGGTCTTTAAACATAAATGGCTAGATTTGAAAATACTGTTTACAAATAAAAAGAAGACTTGGAATTTAAAAGGTGTTCGGTAAAATAGTTGCCCACTATATTTATTTTCTTTTGTGAGATATTCAAATCCCGAAAAATGCTACCCAAACTGGTTTTTGCTCTTAATCCCATAACATCTGTAATTCCACAATTGTATTGGTATATATTAGTCAAAGTCCTACAAATAAATTATTTTGGGAGAAGAAAACAAAGTCGGAAAAAGGTAATGGATTTCTTGTAAAATATATATATATATATATCTAAAATTACTACTATTTTCTCATCGAAGAGATCCGATTCTTTTTGTTTTGTTTTGTTTTAATGAACAGCCAGAGAAATAAAAGTATTGCCTCCCCTCCCCCTTTGAAGTTACCTTTTCGTGGCTGCTTCGTTGCGTGGGGGGCCAGCGCTGTTTATCTGCCCCACGCCCACCCAATATTCCAGCAATCCAGAAATCAAGTCAGGGAACTTTTCCATATTTATTTATTTGTGTTGTTGCAAAAGGATTCGCCTCAATTGTTCTCTCCCCCCCCTGACATTTTCCTTTCTTTCTTCCCTTTTCTCCGGTTACATTTGGCCCGCTTGCATATTTTTTTTAAAAAAGCAATTGGAGATGAACATGCTTTGCAATTCTACCCCCCCCCTCTTATTTCCCATCATAATCTTCAACTGGTTTAAGATTAATGCTAGGAGGTGTCTTAAGAAGGAATGGCGCGTCTCCTCTCCAAAGACCATCACTGGGATCATTTACTTAAGATGTTGACAAGACTGTCAGGAAGTCTATCTCCCCCCCCCTTTTATTTTATTTTTTTACTAAGCTGAGCCGTGGCACACTGTAGTGAGCATTTGATTTTTTAAAAGTAAGGTACATTAATTTCATGAGCGCCTTCTCATAAATATTGTTGTTTGCTCTGTCCCTCTGCCTGGCAGAAAAGGTTTGTGGGGTGGGGGTGGATTTGCAATGGAAATCATGCCTTTGTTTCAGGGGGGGGGAAGCATGCGCTTTGCTGCTCAGATAAATTCCTCCACTCCTCCCATATATTCTTGACAAGAAAAATAAAACCAGAAGGCGCCTCCTGCCCGGCTTCAGCCGGGTCCCCACCCCACCCCCCACCCCTGCCAGGTCTTCTCGCTGTGCTTTGTTGTCTCTCTGTCTCTCTTTATACCCTGAAACCTACTAAACTTGCCGGTTCTGCTCCTAAAGCAGACAAAATAACCCTTTTTAAACTATAAATATTTAACTGTACCTGAGTTTATACAGTGGCCCGGGTGCCTCTTTAAACGCCGGTGATTTATGCTTTTATTTGTGCCTTTAAAACTGTTTTGCTTGCCTTACATGATCTCTCCTTTTTTTCCAGGTGGGCTGCTCCAGCCCTCCTTCCTTCCTTCGAGCCGCAGCATCTCGAGACAGGGGACAAGATGACCAGGGAAAATGCGCTTTTATAAGGGCGTGCTATTATTTATTTAAAGGAGGGTCTTCTGGTGTTCAGACCCAACCGAGGATTTTTGGACTACACAGAGATCCTCGGTCTTAAAACCTGCGTTGAAAGAGCGATGGAAGCACCAAGAGGCTGTTGTTGATGAGTTTATAATCCGGATCCCCTTTCCATCTTGCAGGTCGGTTTCTTCTAAGTGCCCAGGAGAGATCAGGAGTGCGGCCCACCACCGGCTTAAGCTGAGACCTGGGGGGTCGCTTCCTCCCATTTACACGCGCCAACTTCTTTGGGACTAGACCCTTTAATTCTGAAACATATTTCCCCCCCTCTGAAGCAGATCGCATAAATGTCACACTCCTGAGTAACTGCAATTCGATGCAGAGTGAAAATCACATCAAGTTGTTGAGCTCGGCGGGATTACTTGACTGGTGTGAATCGTAAAACACTACTTTCGGACACTTAAGTGAAAGCAGGTCGTGAGGCTTCGCTCAACAACAGGATGTGCGTTGCGGATTTCACCCGCTGTCCGTTTTGCTGTTAGATGAGCCTCATCCACAGCGATAGGAGGGGAAATGCCGTCCTAGGAATGCCTTGTGCTGCTCTTAACGCCATCCTAACCATGTTCCGTTTATCAAGGAGCTAAGGGGATTTCATTCTTAGTGAGAGCAGCCTTAATTTCACGTTTGCAAACTGTTATGTTTGCTAGAACAAATGGTTCCCCCCTTTTGCAATAAATACAATATACCTACATGTGCTGGGGGTGCAATCCTATGCACACTGACCTCAGTGGGACTTACTTTTGAGTAGGCATCTGGCGGATTGCACCTAATAAGGTGAACTCAGCGCTGCCATGGCTCCCTCTCCCTTTTAGATTCTGTTTCACTTTCCACGAGCTTCTATAATAAATACTCGCTTTGAGGGGGAAACTTGCAGGCTTGCTAGACCGGCATTCGAGATATGAATTCAGGTGGCCGGTCGGGAAACTCTTTCCAAAGAAACACAGCACTTCCGCGAGCTTACTAGACACCATACATTTGTGTGACCCCTTCTGACACGTCGGGCACATGACGTTGCCAGCTCTCCCTTGCTTAACACATGCAGACTGCAACCCTAATGGGATCAGTCCCCATTTAAACCCGAAGGAAAGCCGGCACTGCCCGAGGATGTAACTAAAAGGTCACCCACCCACCGAAGGGACGACCTCCTTTATTTTGCTCAAGTCTCCGTTCATTTCCTCACTCACATTCGGACATGCACTGAAAAGCAAAACAGGACAACTTGCACTGTGCCACACGGTTCGCAAAGAGTTTGTAGGATTCCCACCCCACTACTACTATGGGAATAAGCGAGTCCTACAGGGAAGAAGGCAGGTTTCGCCTTTCTTCCTCTCTCTGCTCACGCAGGAAATCCAGACAGGAAATCTCCCCTATGCGCGAGGCGGTGGGCTGGCGGGGAGAGGAGTGTGTTTGTGTGTGTATATATTTATATATATGTATCATTGAGTGTGATGCTTCAGCCCAAATACTTTCTTGGTCCCTGAGCCAGCAGGGGGCGCTCTGACGTTGCGTCTCGCTGGCAAGAGTGAAGGAAAACGCTTTGCTTCTCCTGCGCGGAAAGAGGGGCGGGTGGGTCGGTGGTGGGGAAATCTCTCTTGCAGTTTCCAAGCCCTACTAGAGTTACAGTTCTTGTAACCAAATCTTGCCTCCGCCGGGTGTTTCTCACACCCGTTGGCGAAAGGTAGAGGCACCAAAATGCACATCAGCTGTAGCTCCTCTGTACTTTGCCGGCGCTCAATGGATACGTTCCTCTTTCTCTTCCCGCCCCCCCCCGCCCCTCTGTATACCATACATTATGCAACTTATTAAATCCAACGATAAATTGTCAACATTTTTTTCGCCTGTTAGTTCCGCTGATCCAAGCAGGATTTATTTTCAGATCTAAGGTCCCGGAGCTATAATACGTGATTTCTTTTCCTTAAATAAAATTGGTCAAATGTTGACAACCTTTAAGCCAATATAACACTCAAGATTACTGATGGGAAACTAATGAGAAAATATCAGATCGTCCGGCCTGGGGGCTCCTAATTAAATCTTAGCTGATTGAAAAATAAAAGCGAGCTTTTAAAAAAAAGGAGGGGAGGGGGCTTTGAGCAAGCTTCAGGCTTAAGTTTAGCTACGTTTTTACTTATTTTAACACCTCCTCCTCCGCCCCGCCCCACTGAAGTCCACTTTCCTCTTTTTCTCGCCCCCCACTTAAACAAAAAACACCCTTAACATGATTTCTGTGGCTATTTCGAGACATTCGATTAGGAATTATTATCACTCCCCCCCCCAGTAAATATTAAGGCCTTTAAGCGACGTGATTTAACTAATTAGAAAATTTACATCATTAAGTCTCAGAGAAAGACAAGAGAGGGAGGGAGGAGAGAAAGGAGAGGGAAATCTGTCAGTCATTTTAAAGGAGACAGGCCCTATTGAAGTGTGAAGGAATCGGCTCTAATTCAAAAAGGCAATCGGGCAGAAAAAGCCCTCAACATTACCCTGCTAGTTATTAATCAGAAAGGGTCTCTCTCTCTCTCTCTCTCTCTCTCTCTCTCTCTCTCTCTCTCTCTCTTTCTCTCTCTCTCGCCCAGTAATGGCAAAACGGCGGCACATCGTTAGCTTCTCCCAACGCCTCAGCAGAGCTTCCATTCAAGCTTTTTTGCCACTGGCCCATGTCCCATATTGATAGCAAGTATTTGTCCATTCAAGGCTCATAGACTTGAAAATGTTTCTATGCTAGGGAACCAGGCCCCGGGGAGAAGGCGACGGGGCGGACTCCCTTTTTCCCAGCCCATCAGGCACCATGCTTCCAAAAACCGGAATGGTCAAACTGTTCGCTCCTCTCTTTCCCCATTTTTATTTTTCCAGTTCCAATTGCGGTGGGAGAACGAGATCAAGCCCTTTTTGTTTCTTTAGCTCTGTGCACGCACGGCAGAAACCCCATTCCCACTTCTTCCTGGGACTTCCTTTCTCTTTTGAAAAGCAGCAAAACGGGGCTGGTGGCGCAACGTGGACTTCCAGGGAAACGAAGAGGCGCTGCCCTGGGTCTCCGGCTGCCTGCTCGGGAGTGAGTCCCCTCGAAGTCAAGAGGGCTTCACCTCCGTGTTAAAAGGCGCCGAGATCGGCCAGCACGCCTATGGAGAGACCTGAGGAGATGAGGCGGATTAGCTGCGAGCTAAATTGTTTGCTCAGCGCCTCGCCAAACTCGGAGATGCCAAGAGGCGCTGCGCGCTCTTCTCCAGCAGCGCCGAGAAGTTGGCGAGGCAGGGACTTGGGCCTGTCTTAGCAGAAGGGCTGGGGAAGATTTGGGAAGAATCGGGGACACCACCCGGCTCCCCCCTCTAGTTTCCAGATCCATACCTACGCAGCTGAAACCACAGCCCGCCTCTCCCTCTCTCCATGGAATGAATACTCAGGGCGCACATTTGGGGGAAACTAAAACCACGAAGCATATTCCCAAAGTGAGCTTCCGTCGCGATAGCCAGTCCCCTCTGACTTTGTCCTTCAAAGCTGGACTGACAGCGCAAGCCGACACGTGTCTTCTCAGAAGTAAGCGTCACGGCCTGCTGGGGAACTTCCTCGTGAATAAGGGTGACTAGTATTGCAGCCTCAACTGTGAAGCGCAGCCTCTCCTACCATGGCCCTTCAAGGGCTGATTCTCAGGCCCAGGTACGTGACAGGTAAAAGGGGGGTGTGAGTGTGTGTTTGCGTGTGCAGTGGAGCACGCAAACGGGTCCCTGGTATCAATGGGATCTACCATCTCTTTCCCCCTTTAGAGGCAAGTCTAATGGATTTGCGTAGAACCTCTTGCCATCTCGACAAAGGCAGCGATGACCTTCTCACGGGGCCCCTAGTTTTGCCAAACAGCCCCTGCAAGTGACCGATCTTAAAGCGTGGCGAGGCACCCTGGGAGGAATAAGGCACCTACTCCAAGATACCCCGAGAGCCCTACTCAGAAGTAAGTCCTATTGACTTCCACTAGGCTTAACTCCAGGTTAATCCGGCTAGTGCTGCAGGCCAAGGCTGCGACGAAGCCTCGTTTACCTGGGAGGAAGCCTCACAGGATTCAACAGAACTTCCTTCTTGGCTTGGGCTGTCAGGGTCTCCATGCATGGAACCTCTTCCTTGTGGCAAGGAGCCCGAGCCCCTCTCCTCCCCCGTGGGCAGCTTCGGAAGAGGAGGACGCCACCTGCAGCGATGGGGTTGCCCTCAACTCTTCCTTTCAGTGGCCCCGGAGCTTTCTAAGCCACCGAGTCTTCTGGAGAAGGAACCAAATGTGCCCATGTCACATCCACGTTTCCTTCCAGGTGGCTAAGCATTCAAGCTGCAGAGGAGGCAGGCACTACAATAACATTTCCGACGCCTTTTAACAAGCCACAAGTAAAAACAACGGGTGCGCGCGCACACATAGACAAATCCGACTCCATTGAGTGAAATATTGATTCTCTTCTCAACCCACCCAGCCCCCAGCCGCCCCCCAACCCACGCAACCGCTGAACCGTAATTCATCTGTAAACTCATAACCGGATCTTAGCAGAAAGGAGAGGGGAGTGGGGTGGGGGGTGGGGGTAAGA